TATGAATATGTTGAAAATGGCAATCTGCATCACTGGCTTCATGGATCTCTAGGGTCAGCACGGCCTCTTACGTGGAGAATACGCATAAATATTATTCAAGGAATAGCAAAAGGGTGAACATACCATCTTCAGTGTCATCAACCTCTGTTACACTTTTCATACCCTAATTTAAACATATCTGATATTCAAGTCAATTCGTTTCAAACTCTAATTAATCCATGTTTGGTACATATTAGATACTTGATCCCAAATCCGTTAAATATAGGTTTATGTTTCTTGCAGACTGGCCTACCTCCATGAGGATATTGAACCAAAGATCATCCATGGAGGTCTGAAGTCCAGCAACATTCTTCTTGATAATCAATGGAACCCTAAGATCTCTGATGCAGCTCTTACAGCTGGACTCCTGAATCCTCAGTCAGTTTCATTATTCTCTTCCATTTTGGAGTTGCACCCATTAATTTTCTTCACAAACATACTACTCTATACAAGTGATTTTACTAATCATGCTGAAAATTTGCATTTGATTTCTAGTTCTGGGCTTGAAGATTACTCTCTTACCAGCCTCATGCATGATGAGAAGAGCGATGTTCATAACTTTGGAGTACTCGTCATGGAGATTGTAACGGGGAAACCCCCTGTAATTGACTGCGGTGACTCCCCAGTAATGATGCCTAGTTTTAGTTAATCATAGCAATTTTCCTTACACACTGTTGTTGTCAAAAACAAAGTTGCATTAATTTGCAGGTCTACTTGGTCGATTGGTTGAAATCCATGGTGGCGAGCAAGAAGATTGAACAAGTTGTCGATCCCACATTATCAGATCAAACCATTAATTTGCTAGAACTCAAAAGGATCATTCTGATTGCTCTCCGGTGTGTTGTTGCAGAAGTAGAACATAGACCAAAAATGAAAGATATTATTCACATGCTGGAACCCCTTGACTTGCTTCTCAATGATGTAAGTAGCAAATTACTTGGTTTCATTATCTTCTGGAAAATAAATCATTTCAATTAGTCACTATAATCATCTAATTCTTGACATTTCCAATTCATTAGATGTTTCTACATTGTGATATACAGACGAAAGCCTGTAATAAAAGAAAGGATTCCTCCAATAACGACAGACATGATGGACAGGTTGAAGGTGCTTATAAAGTGCATTTGGAGGAAGAAGCAGCTATAACCAGGATGAAAAAAATGTAGACCATAAAACCTTTATGACATGGTCTACATCATTGATAAGTCTACTTTAGCCCAGAATTTCTATGTCTTAATTTCCAAGATTAGTTTATTCAAATTGTACCGTGATTTTCTCTGCTTTTAGAATAATAATTAGATGATTTGTTTTTCCCTAGTCTTGCCTCATTATAATTCTGCATTTTCGACGATGACCTACTACATCTACAGATAATTTCTCTGTTTTTAGAAGTTAGGAGCTTGTGAGCTCCAGGGCATAACAGTTAAATGAGGTGGGAAAAGTGAGAAAGTGTTACTTTTCTTTATATAAGGTATGTATTTTTCCAATTAAGTTACAAACTGACAAAGTACATAAATATGGTGGTCCGAACATTTTATTATATTTTTATTCTGACTGTACAATTAGGCTAACTTGTTTATCAATATTTTTTACATAAAAAATATGTTATATAATTTATATTGCATAATTTAAATTATAATATAAAAAATAGACATGCTGATGGTAGAAACTATCCTCTTATCTAATATATATATATATATACCTGCATTCCCCCATGTGGCCTAAGTGGCCACGCTCCTTCATGTGAGAAATAAGATGGAGCGCAACACATGATCATCAGGTCGACTCTTCGATCGGAGTACTGTTTTTTCAAAAATCTTTAACTGACTTTAACCTTATAAGTTCGAATATAGGAGTGTCACTTACTTTATTTAAAAATAAAAAATTTCATCTTTTATATGATTCTTTTCATTTCTAACAATCTCTAAAAGATAGCTAAAAGAATATTTGTAAATTAAACTATGCTTACGCCTTAAATAATGTTGTAAAACAGAGAGTGAAAATCTGTAAAATGGATTATTAATCGCCTTGAACACCTTTAAAAACCTTAAAACCACAACAGTGTTATAAAAATTACAAATCCTAAATTAAAAACAACATAAGTAATCATCCTAAAACAAAATGAAAAAAGAACAACAGCCCATAAAGATAAATTCAGAGACAACATAATGTATAAAATTACAAACTACAATTTCAACTACGTAATCCATAATGATTTCTTAGAAATTAAACTAATTACTTGCAAACTTAAAATAAAGATAATTAAACTATTTGATTACAAAAACCAAAAGATAATCTACAAATTGATTAAAGGCAGGAAATTTGTGAAATTAAATCTTAATTTAGAAATTAAAGTTAAACAAACTATAAGTCTAGCAACTATGCAAAAACGAAGAACAAAAAGAAAAAAGTATTCAACTCATTTACATAAACAAATACCAACCAAATCGATGGAGCAGACCTGCTTATAAGGTTGAATTGCTCCCAAGTCTTTAAGAATTTATGAAAGTTGCAAATTTTGAAGATGAATATGAACAAGGATGGGAAACCTAAACTACAACCAAGAATAAGAACAAGTCTTGCACTCTAATCTGGAAAACCATGCTGAAATCTAGAAGAACAAGTCTAAAAATTGAATATGCATATGCGTAGGGCAATTTGTGTACAGGGCAGGTAGTGTAGAATTGATCTTTTTCCTTTCTTTTTTTTTTTTTTTTTTCTCTCTTGCTAGACAGTTTCCTCCCATGATTCTCGCTCTTTGTCTTCTCAAAAATCTATTGCAGAGGGTCACATCTGAGAGCAGTTTCCCCTTGTCTGGCAATTGGCTATTAATTTCAAGTAAATCTTGACTAAAATTCAGATAAATCCTCCTAAAATCTCTTCCAAACCTCCTAATTAAGTTAAATTTTAGCCACCTCAGAGAGTTTACTCTACTTAGACTCTAACCATCCCATCATAACCCATTCAGTCGAAAGCCCAAATCAATTATGGGCTCAACTTAGCCCATAACTGACTCTTTGCAAATATGGCCCAATTAATCTTAAAAAACATACATTTGTCCTCTCTCTATTTAGTTTATTTTAGGTGTAAGTAAATACAT